AGATATGACATCATTAACAGGTTTTAATTTGTTTTAATTTATTACTCAACTTGGCAACCAACAACATTCCTTTTCTATCCCACTCCCTTCAATACAGACGTCTTTGAGCATGGAATAAAACTTGACATACATAACATAACATCTATTTTCTAATTCAAAACAATCATTCAAATAATTTATTTTTTTAAGGGTTTCTCTTGGTCTCAAAACCGGAGTCACACTCTACAAGGTAGAACAGAGGTTAGCTCTCACAGGTGGCTGCTCTGATCAGTAGTTTTCCGTGGCTTTCCTATCAATACCATGCCAATGCCAATGCAGTACCCCCAACAAACGGGCCACGGAACCAGTGCGATCTCACCTTCCTCTTCTTCGTCCTATCTTCACACACGCGCGCACACGCACGCACATGCACACACACGTACCGGGAGACCAGTCGGGAACTTACAGCTTGCCCGGCTGGGGTGGTGCCCCGCTGGTGGAAGATAACTAGTTGAGGAAAACCTCGCTAGCCAACGGTAGGTCGGGGCCGGATCTCGCCATACGGGGGTAAAGATCACCGCCACATCTCGAGCAAAAACATGCACTACACTAACGAGACTAATGACCCTCGTTGTTAACATGATGATGGATGATAAGGTGATATGGTATAAAATTGTGTTAAATTCCTACTGTAGAAATCACAGAGTTCTTTCAATGTGAACGCCTGCCTTTGTCCTATACCACAAGATCTAGGATTCCCATTCTAGCAAAAATTATTCTCAAACTTGAATTGATTGGATGTCATAAATTTTATTATGCAAAATTCCAACCATTTGCGCATTACATCAACAACTATCAAAAAGTTTTTACCTTCAAACGGCCCCGGAAAATGAAAATGAAAAGTTGACCATGGGTTTTAATCAATGAACTTATTTCGATCAGGATTTTCATCCAGCTTCCCTGAATCCTTTGAGCAAATACTGAGATGGCCCATTGCTTTGCTTCTCAACAGTAAATGTAACTTCACTTTCTGCACAAGTTTGCTTGAGCTCTCCTTTTGCTAGGCATGAGAGGAAAGGAGTTATTATAGCAGTATACACATTTGCCCAAACAGTTCTAATACATAGGAGTGAACATTTATCAAATATTAAAACGTTACTTTCTACTTTTCTTCCACATAATATGTAGTAAAAGGATGTAGAAATTCCAGAACTCAAGGAGACATACACAATTGTCCCCCCCTCTCATACACCATATTTGACTTGTTCATACTGTGGTATGCCAAAAGACCCTCCCCTGTTAATATTTACAATTTATATAATATTTATTACAATTCATTTGTAAATGTAGAATTCCAATATGAGCAATACAGAAGGGTTGCTACAGTAACCAAATGTAAACAAACATGGTTTGTTTGTGACAGTGGCGGGGTATATAAAAATGAAATCACTTTGTGCTTAACAATTCACATAGGTCAAAAGGCAACGCTTCATCTAGATGAAAAACTGAGTTCAGATGGTATATTCATGACCAGAAGAAAAATAATATCTTCATTTTGCAATAACGAGATCACTGTTAGGTATGCACCAATCTTCGCGTTTGATGGGAACGGATTAGTAGATGTGGACATGATTACATCGGAAGAATCCAATGTTAAGTTTAGGAACGGAATGTTAGTGTTCATTTCTATTTTGAAAATTTATTAGAATAATGTTAAATAATATAATGATAATATTGTACAAATTTGATATTAAAAATAATAGTCTGGGACTCCGATTCATAAAATATTAGATTATGTATGAGATCATTACTGATTATAACTGCAAATGAATTAATTTATTTATATTAGAAAAGTAGCATTGTGAGGCACCTATCTGTGGTGGATTGATAGGGAAGTGTAATTTATACAGAACATATTAATAAGACATTATTATGTGAAACTATCAGGAACTAAAAAATATTACATATCACAGTTATTCAGTGATATCTATTAAATAGAGAAGCCTTAGGTAATATAAGGATATTTAGGGAATAATTCAACTATGACAGAAGTGAGAAGAGGCCACAAAAAACATGAACATTTCAGTGCAGTCCGAAACCATCCGATGTGACAAAGGTGCATGAAGATTCCTTATGTAAGCTATAAAGAACTATATTTATCTGGTTAGTAGGCGAAGAACTTATTGATTCAAAGGAACAATTTAATTCGTATTGACGAAGAACCAGTCATCTTTGAAAACAATATTAACTAAAATAAAATGAGCTGATGGTTTAATATGCGCAACAATAATGAATAAATGTTATATTTTCTTTATTGGAAATAAGGCTGATTATGAGGTAGCAAATTACAATCAATCAATACTATTTTATTTAAATCAAATTTCCCAAAATCATCAACATGTATGAATGACCCTTTCTCATATGGTTATGTAAGTATCAATTTAGTTGTTTGTTGATACCAATGTATCAGGAAATGATGAATGTTAAATATAATTGTGAGAAAAAACTTGCAATAATATATTGGGTGAGGCAATTAGTTTGTCGTGTGTTTTCTGAATCTTTTTTAAAATAATGTGGCAAATAATTCTAATGAAGTTATATTGGACCTGATATTCAGCAATGGCAATCGTAATTCGGTTGTTGATTTTTGTGGGAGAGTTGAATAAGCTTATGCTTACCATCCACCTTTGTGCTTATTTTATGAATCTTCTGAGGACACAATGATTATTTGGATGGGGGCTGGGTCTATGACTATTCCTCTACAAATTTTAGTACATTTAACGAATTTCGTCTAATTTGTTCTCTGCTTTAGTTTCATCTAATTGTTGTTTTTATGATATTATTTCTATATTTTATAAGAATTTATATGAGTGAATTGACCTGTATGTTCTGAAAAGAAAATTGAAAACAGTAATATAGTCAGGAGTTGATTTCTTGCCAGTTCACAGCGATAGCTGAAGGATTCACTGATTACTTTTCAACTTTTAATAGTCAACGAGTTGACTCCTCTAGAGCTGATGATCTTGCAGACTAATCACACTACATTTTGAATTTCATAGAGATTGGAGTTACAGATAATGAACAATTAAAATCTGATAGCAAACAATGCCTTGATGGGATCCCTGTGATTCTGTTAAAAAATGTAAATTTTATTTGCTCACAAATTTTGAAAATTTTATTTCATAAGTCCTTAGTGAAGGGTTACTTTTAATCAGAATAGAAGTCCTCATACATTTCCTATTTTCAAATCTGGTGACAAAAATCACAAGTTCACAAAATACTGAAGAATTTGTTACCAAAGTTGTCAATTATTTATTGAAGTTTGAACTGTAATCTTTTAAAATTTTATTCTTCCCTTAAATACTCTACAAATAAATAAAATAAACTACTAAACAGTTTCATATAAAATCTATCAACACATTAACGAATACATTTTAAAATTATCCCGAAAAAACACTTGAATTTAATAATTTGGCCATCACTGTAGGTTGTAATTCAAAGTACCTTATTCTGGCAGGAATAACTGCCATAATAGAGTAAAACATTCATTTAAATTTGAAATTTGAATGAATTCCAGTAAAATATCTTCAAGAGCCAATTTCAAACAATATTGAAGATTACATTAAGAAAGTGATTTGCTATTAAAGACAATGAGATAGATGAATTTATCAATTTTTTCTTGCATTTTTGAAAAACAGTTAACAGAAAAAAAAGAAAACATGTATTTGGAAAGTGAAATCATGGGTTTTCTAACTTAAATATCATTCAAGCTTCTCTTACGTTTAAAAGAGTATTAAATTATAAAGTACATACTGAAATTGCAATAGTAATAAAAATATTTTAATTCTTAACGAGTGGTGCTTCAGAATGTGTCAGACTTGCCTGTAGCAGTTAGTTTTCTAATTTCATTTGGCCTGAGATACCTCTTTAGTCTTTCCCCATCCTCTTGCCAGCTGCCATCTATTACCTCCCAAACTACATTTTTCTGACACCTTTTCAATTTTTCGTTTTCCTAATGGTAGAACTGATATATTACTGAAAGACCATTCAAGAAGAGTGAAACCTTATCCTCTATGGCAATTGTTGCTGAACAATTTGCAGTCAATTTTAAAAAAATTGCACTTAAGACCCACTGTAAATGTAAAATTTGACTTATTCACAGAAAAAATGTTAGTTTTTGAAACAATTCATTTGAAATTGTTTGAATCACTTCAACTCACAAATGAAAATGTTTACAAATTACTCGAAATGAGCATGTTAACAGTGAGAGATTAAAAAAAGTTACATTTTTTTTTAATTTTTGAAAAAACAAAAGAATTCACCAAAATGAATTTAAAGTCATATTAAACAGTGCAATTAGTACTATTCATACAAGTATGAAGAAAAAACTTGGGCCATTTTCTGCAAAAAATAGTGTTTGAGCATTTCTGAAAATGTGGAATTTTGAGCTCATTTTCATGGAAAATGTTTGAGTTTGCGTGAAAACTTCATAAGACATCATTTAAAGCACACACACATAAATGCAATAATGTGAACATATTAATGTAAATATTAACGTTAGAGATTAGTGAAAAAAATACATTTCAGTAATTTTTCAAAAAACAAAAAAATAGAGCAAAATGACCTTTATGTCATTTCATAAAGTATATTTAGCACTATCCCTCACAAAAGTTTCGAGAAAAAAGTGGAGATGTCTTCAATAAAATATTGTTTTTGTAATTATTTGAAACTTGCACAAACTACTGCACAAAAACTACTGTTTTAAAAAAGTTTACACGACTTTATTGAAAGAAGTAAATTTGGAACAACATTTGAAACAAATTTATTGTAAGGAAAAATATTTATTTTCAATTTTGTAGTTGTGGAAAGACGCTGAAAAAATTTCAAATTTTTTCAATTTTAGAAAATTCAGTTACCTGTAAAAATTGGACATGTGCCTCCTTCATATGTGCATTTCATTCTATTCTTACAAGAAATATAAAGAAAAAAATGTGGACCATTTTTGAGAAAAGAAACCTCACCTCATTAAGTTTGGCAACAGTCAGTTTGTCTGTACTTCCTTTTCGCAAACGCCGACCACGCTTGTTCCGTATACTAGGATCACCAGCTTCAGCTATCAATTCACTGCCCTCTGTCAGCATTCCCAGCTGACACAGTAATTTAAGAAGTAAAGCAAGACAGTCTTGCTGCCATTCTGATCCATCACCCCCAGCACGTTGCAAAACTCCTACAACAAAAATATATAGTTAAAACATTTTTGAATGGTTATAACAAAGTGGTCACAAGAAAACTTAAACAAACTGAAAAAGAAAAACTGAAGTAAGGAGGAGGTAGAAGATTTTTGTACTTCTTTACCATTCTAAGAATTCAATTTTATATATTGTTCATGAAACTTCAAAATGGCATAACCCACATAATTTATGAAATTGAGATTATGACATCAATAGATTCATTGACTTAGAATACACCTTTTACAAAAGTCATATTACAAAAAACATATTTCTATGCTTTATTTTATAAAAACTAAATGTTTTATACCAATCATTTGAAATATTCAGCAAAAATGGTGAAGGTCATACAATTTAAAAACAATTTAAAAATTATACAATTCTATTCATTGTAATGATAAAGTATGAAACAACAAAATAAGTTTAAATTCAAAGTCTAACATGAAACTCTATAAACTTATACGTTTTTTTTAACTCTCTTGAAAATTTGATTTCATAATGTTTTATAAATCTATACAAAAATAAAAAAAATATTTTTTACATACGAAATAAAAGAGATAATTTCTAACATAACAATTTATATTCAAGTATTTTTCCTTTACTATTTGATCGCCGCCGTCGTTAACTGAATTGCTTAAAAACTACTTTCGGTGAAATCACAGAAGTGAAGCAATCTGAGACACCACAGATTTCTCAATGGGTGATCATCCCGCACATGCGCCCAAAACCCAACTCCCATACACACCTACAACCTCCTCCCACTCACAAAAACCCATACCTACTCACATAAGACACCCCTCCGCACCCTCATTGCCCAAAAGTTGGCTCAGATGGCTACAATATGCTAATTGCATTCAAGAAACATTGACATTGTAACACCCTTTCTTTTCTCATCATAGTTTATGAGTGATTGAAGTTTAGAGGGGAAAACTGCCATGGATTGGTGTCTATGTCACATTCTATTTAAAACTTAGCTTTAATAAAAGAAATGTTGTAGATGCAAGTATTACGCTGATTAAAAGCATGTACATAATTTAAAATGGGAGCTTGAAACCCCCATCCAGACCATTAGTAAATCCTTCACATCTGAATAATAGTACACTTCACATATAACTTTTCAGAAATTTCTTTCTAATATCCAAATTTAGGTTCGTATTTGTGAGCAAATTTATTTTACTTAAGAATGACATCTTTGCTAGTGTAATTTACATTCTATTGAAGATCTAAGAACTTCTGTACATCATGACATAACATTAGTGACATATGTCACAAAATAAGGTTTTACACTTCAAAAAATACTACCCAATGATGCACGAGTCTGCTGGTCTCAAAAACTGCAACATTTAATACTAATATATAACTTGACTTTTGATTGATTGCTTTTGATGCGTTAGATAGGATTAACAGTTCTTATTCATAGAAAATTTTAAGAAGTGGGGGCCCTATTGTAGTGTTTTCTTACATAATAGAAATCTTGCATCAATTCATTTTTCTTGCTCACAAAAGTAAATCAAGATTGGAAATTATTACCAAATAACACTTCTTAATCAAAACTTTTAAAAAATCATTAGGAAAGCCAGTTATCAAATGTAGAATTACCATAAAGTACTTCATTACAGGAAATAGTAGGGTCACCTAAACATCTGGTGAATAATTCACCTCTTCAAAATTCAGTTTTGTTAGATTCTACTAAAAAAGGGGAAAGATGTCATTTTTGTTCCCAAACAGAAAATAAAAGTACTTTGCACCACTCCAACTTATTTTTTTTATGTACAAAATCATGCTATCACAGTTGTGCTAAATATTTACAATTGATTTTCTCTACATTTGCTGCATACGCATTATTTAACCATCTAGCATTTTGTACAGGTGCGCTCTATTTTACACTATTGTATGCTGAAAGGTTAGACGATGAATAGAATGTACTAAGGTTGTTGTTTTGAACGTTCTATCCAAAGAATTGAAAAGACGTCCAAAGAAAGGAATCTTCTGAGTACTGCTTTTGCATGACAATGCAGCTGCTCATAGACCATGTGCAATTGTGCAGAATATAAAAAAAGAAAAAGGCCCCATTCTCGAACACTACTTAAACTCTCGAACTCTACAATCCTGACCTCACATCTTGTGATTTCTGATTGTTACCTCAGGTTAAGTTCGTCATCGCTGGAAAGCCCTTTAAACGTGTGCAGGAACTTTCTCAAGCCATATATCCAGCTCTCTATTAACAATACCTCGGTCAGAGTAACGCAATGCCTTTGATAAATGCAGCACCTCCAATGATGTGTGGAGTACAATGGGGAGTACGTTGAAGGATTCATAATTTTAGTAATAACGGATTCATAATCAATGTAGGATAGTACTCCATACATGTTATAACATGGATTTTAGCAGGTCACCTGCAAAACTGTTTGAATCTCAGTCGTTAAAAGTACTTATTTGTGAAATTGCTTGAAGAGAGATTTCTGCCATTGCAATGGAAATCTTCATTCAAAATTACTATTTATCAATCAAGCAATAGAACTGACATTTCAAACTACAGACTAATCTCTATCATTAGCTCCATCAAAAAATTATTAGAATCTATCATCTCTGATAAAATTAAAAATATTTTTGTACCTTTTCTATCATACAATTTGGATTTATCAAAGGCAAATCAATTAGAGGCAAATTTAGTTTCCTATATCGATCTCATTCTGAATACATTCAGAGAGATATGCTCAGTACACAATATACACTGATTTTAGTAGACCATTTTCTTCTGTTAATCATAATATTCCTATAAAAAAACTGAAATGTTTTGGAATCAAGGGCTCTATTATGCATTGATTTACCAGTTTCATGATGGGTAGGTCACAATTTGTGAAATATAGGAAAGTTAAGTCATATTTTTCAGGCATTCCTCAAGGATCACATCTAGGTTCCTTAGTTTTCTTCTTTATATATAATATTAAATATATTCTGAAAGATATTGAATACCTACTTTCTGCTAACGATTGCAAAATTTTTAAGATAATTGAAACACCAGATGATCATCTGTCTTCAAGCACTGAATGCTTTTACAAAATGGTGTGAACACAATCAACTACTACAGCCATCCAAATGTAAACATTTCAAGAGACTCGGACCATTTCTTGAATTTAAAGAACCAACATCTCAAAGATATCACATAACCGTAATTGAAGATTGTTGAGGAAAAGATCCTCGACAACCAAAAGTGGAAAAAAAGGGATGATGTGTTGTCGTAGATGACAGCTGAGGCTTGTTTACAACGTTCTTCAACTTCACCAAGCAAGTCATCCTGAGAGAGGGAAACAATCGAGTGATTACACTAGGGAATAAAATTTTTAGCTCCAGAAAGGTAGAGTGCACAGCATACTCAATTTTGTTCACAGCATACGAATATCATGTGCCAATTTTTAAATATATCGTATATTTATATCATATAATATCATATTTTTCTATTAATGTTATTACATTTAAATTGCGATTCTAAGGTATGTAGATTCAATATGCAAAAAATCAGGGCTTCATGTACCTTCTGTTTTCGAAGAGTGCAGTCTTTATTCTTGCGTCTGGTAATCGTGCTCAATTATAAGTAGGTCTGAGTGTTCTTGGTGGATGTTATAAAAACAAGTCATGTGCACTCTCATATTTTCTATTCTATCAGTCACCAACAGAAATAATTTTAGTCCCTTACCTTATCGCAAGTATAGAAGAATCCAACAGTTGGGGTGGCAGATTCTGAGCGAGATGGTGTCATGCGGGACTGTACCAGAAGGGTGCGTGAAGTTTATGACTGCTTTGCTTATGTCTCAAATATGGTTTTTATATTGTGAAATTCGCCGCATGATCTGTAGAAATGAATCTGTTTGTTCAAATACAAATGATCATTTCACATCGAAAGTGTGCGTTTCAGCCTCTTACATTTGTGGAAGATTTACAAGCAAACTTCCAAGAACGAAATGACAAACTTGAAATTACGTAAAGTGCGTATATTGCCTCACCAGCGATCTAATTAATAAGTATGCTTTATACTTAAAACTCGTGTTTTTGATCTGCACAAACCATGAGATGCTCACCAGTGCTGGGTCACCTGCACAACCGGTTGGTTGTAGTTGTATGGGAAAACTCAAATCATTGTCATTCACTCTAGTAATATTGTAGAGAATATCAACAAACCATTTTGATGTTTGCATATTATGGCACGAATCTAGCGTGAGAGAAACTTCTTATAATGATTTTCGAAATCAGCATAATCATTTTCTTTCAAAAAACATACTTTCATCTTGAAGGTATTAAAAAAAAAAAGTTTTTTGTTTCGTAGTGTTATCAGCATTTTCGAGGAATTTCACTCTCTCCGAGAGATTTTCAATTTTCGTGTCCTGCTCAGCATCCTCAGTGTCAGCGGTTCAAATTTGGCGTTGAAGAAGTCAAACATGTCCTTTTTTAAATAGGACATATGGCAGTCAAGAGTCATATTCATTTTGTTCGCGGTAACCATAGCACAAAGAAGATAATCATGCGTTAGATAAGGTCTTACGGCGAGAACAATAGCTCGGTTTCTTGACTTCAGGGCCTACTGGAAGTTCCTTTTTGCAATATCCGGTAAGAGAGTAGGTCGTTGATATCACTGGAGACTGATTCGCTATCACTCTGATGATTGCAGCTCTGATCCATACTCAATCAGAAATTAATACTAGGAAATTTTGAAAATATATTAGGTAGTCACGTTGGAAACAAACCGCGAGTGGGACTGGCGCGAATTTGGTCTGGCAAAATGCTAAGCGTTAAGAATCAGTCTTCAAGCTATGTCATGAAAAGTAATGTAAATAAGAAAAAAGGAAGGAGAGAAATAAGAGAAAGAAGAAGAAACACTGTGCAAAAGTGGGCAAAAGTTGTACACCTCAGCTGAAAGTCGTCACAAAGAGCGAATGCCGATGTTAGAATAGATCACCAGCTGCATGCAGTAGAGAACACCAAGCTAAGCGAAACGAAATGT